CCCAGCCTAGAGTGCAGTGGTGTGATCTCAGCTCACTGCAACCTCTGCCTCCTGGGTTCAAGCCAGTCTCCTGCCTCAGTCTCTGAGTAGCTGGGACTACAGGCATGTGCCACCACACCCGGCTAATTTTTGTATTTTTAGTGGAGACGTGGTTTCACCAGGTTGGCCAGGCTCGTCTTGAACTCCCGACCTCAGGTGATCCACCTGCCTTGGCCTCCCAAAATGCTGGGATTACAGGTGTGAGTGCCTGGCCTGGAATACGCTTTTCAATTGGACAAGGGATATTAAGTGGGACCATCTTTACTGTATATCATTTTTATTTTCAGAATTGTAAAGATGATAAGAAACACATTTGACATTAGGTAGTCAAAGGCGTGAATGATTGTAGCCATCTGGCATTCTTTTTGGCTGCTTTCAAAGCATGATCAAGATAGTTTTTCCTAAATCCATTCGCCCCTTCATCTGTAATTACAGAACCATGGCTTCAGCTGTACAATGCCATGGGGAATAAAAGTACATTTCCCAATCTCTTGTGGCCAGCTTACTCGGGTAATTAAGTCCTACCAATTAAAAGTGGATGCATTATTTGGTCTTTCTGGGAAGGCTCCAGAAACAGGAGAAAACAAATGCCCTTTAGTCTTCGCCTGTTCCTCCTAACACTGGCCCGGGATGTGGACTCAATGGCTGGAGCACCAGTAGCCCTCTTGAATCATGAGGTAGAATCTGTGCATACTGGAGGGATAAATATCAGTTTGGACCTCGGTGGACAAACAATATTCTTTCAGTATAATAAAATGTATATGGATGTTTTTCCAACGTGCCAGAGGAGATAATGGTAAATAAGGCGTAGTTTCTATCCTAAGGACACATAAATGAGTGGGGTGGGGCAGGGCGAGGGGGGGCGCTGGGAGGAGGGTAACAATTAGGCAAGGCTATTAGGGAAGCACACAGGTGAAGCACCTAGCCTAATCCTGAGTGTACGGTGGGTGGAGAGGTCTGAAAAGGCTCTCCGCAGGAAGTAACACCCTCTTGGATAGATAGGATGGGCCAGTCGTTGGAGGAAAGGGCAGCGTTTTCGTCTAGGGGAGTTAGGAAGTGATAACACTGTTTAACACCTTGGAAGAGATAAGGCAGGGACGTAAGCTAGGGTGGGAGTTTAGACTCTATCCCTAGAAGTATGCGGAGCAAGTGAAGGGCATTTAAGCGCGGGAGTAAAGCGGCCGCGTGTATTCTTTGGAAAGATCATTCTAACATTCCACTTGCTCTGTTCAGCACGGGGACCGAGAAGAACTAATCAGAGGCGTGGAGACCAATTTCATCCATATTTCCTCTTGAAATACCGATAGGGAGCGAGGGAAAGGATAGAAAAACTAGAAAAGGAGGTCCACATCAAAGGCACACTTGGCCCCGATGAACCACCTGGAAGACGCTGGGAGCGCTGTAACCACGAAGCAATTCTGAGCAAAGCCAGGTGGATTCCGGATATGCCAGGCCCTCTTTTGGAAAAAGAACAATTAGGCACGAAGTGGAGTAAGAAATTGCAATTACTGGAGCCTCGGAAATTCGGGTTTCTTTCTTCTGTTCGCCCGAACCGCTTGCCCAGCAATGTTTCCAGAGGGCAGCCCGGCTTTCCCTTTTTCCAGAACACTCCCCAGTTCTCCCAAGACGGGTGGCGTGGTGCCGCGGGGCAAAAACTAAGTCGCTGTACAGCTTCGAAGAGCAAGCGGCTCAGCAAAAGCAAAAGAAAAGGGTTCTCGGCGACAGGGACAGACCCTCATTCGGGATGGCTTGGATCGGACAAGGGAGGCTGTGTGTCGTCAGCTGTCCCACTTCGCTCTGAAGCCCCGTGGGCTCCATCCACTGCCCCGCGGCCCGCGCGCCTCCCGGCACCAGCTGCATCGCTGGGAGGTGAGGCTCTCCGGGGCAGCCTGCATCCTAGAGCACCTCCTGTTTCCTCACTCTGAGTATACAAATTTGACCTCAAAACACAAACCCTGTCTTTGGCCTTTCTGGATTTAGAAATAAACATCACTCCAGACGCCGGCCAGTTTATAGTCACAGAGTCGTAAAGTTTTATTTTTAAAGGGGGGTGGGTGGGGGCGGAAAGGACTTGTAAAGTTTCTTTTTAAAAATTTTTGTTTTTAAAGGAATTAACTTCTGCAAGTCAAGCAATCAGCAGCAGAATGCTCGAGGCCAGGAGCGCGATCCCCCGAGGTGCGGGGCGCGGCTGGGACATTTTGGGGGCGCGCGGCGCGGTGCCGGGGAGGAGGCGCGGGGTTCTAGGGGCGCGCAGTGTGGGGGCGCGGCCCCGGGGATGGGGATGGGGTGGGGACCGAGGGTGGGGAGGAGGCGCGCGGCTCCGGGGACGCGCACTGCGGGAGCGCGCGGTACCGGGGATAGGGCGGGCCGGGGCGCGCGGGGGCGGCGGGCGCGGCGCTGCCAATCGCAGACAAAGGCCGCCCCAGTGAATCATGTGGTAGCGGGGGAGGAAGTGCGGCTTGTTTTCTTTCCTCCAGTCTCGGGGCTGCAGGCTGAGCGCGATGCGCGGAGACCCCCGCGGGGGCGGCGGCGGCCGCGAGTCCAGATGAGGCCGGAGCGTCCCCGGCCGCGCGGTAGCGCCCCCGGCCCGATGGAGACCCCGCCGTGGGACCCCGCCCGCAACGACTCGCTGCCGCCCACGCTGACCCCGGCCGTGCCCCCCTACGTGAAGCTCGGCCTCACTGTCGTCTACACCGTGTTCTACGCGCTGCTCTTCGTGTTCATCTACGTGCAGCTCTGGCTGGTGCTGCGCTACCGCCACAAGCGGCTCAGCTACCAGAGCGTCTTCCTCTTCCTCTGCCTCTTCTGGGCCTCCCTGCGGACCGTCCTCTTCTCCTTCTACTTCAAAGACTTCGTGGCGGCCAATTCGCTCAGCCCCTTCGTCTTCTGGCTGCTCTACTGCTTCCCCGTGTGCCTGCAGTTCTTCACCCTCACGCTGATGAACTTGTACTTCACGCAGGTGAGTCTCGGAGAGGCTCCGGGAGGCGCTCACCTGGCGGGGTGGTCCCCGCGCGGCGCCCGAGGCAGGGGCGAAGGCAGCCGCGGGGGCGGGTCCAGCCCTAGGGTTCAGGGTGCAGGGAGAAGGCGCGGGCTCCGGGGTGGTCCGAACCTCGTCCTACCTGCGGGCATCTCTCATAGGAAACCCCCTGCTATTCCCAAAAAGGGCGAGGAGAAGGAAGGGGAGGGCTCGGGGCCGGTCACTCGCTGCCTCTAGCTCCGGATTGTGCGGTGGGTTCGGGGCGCTTCTCTGTGCGCAGCGTCAAGCAGCAGCGCCTGCATACACCAGTTAGGACGGATGGAAGGTGTGCCGCCCAGGGAGGCCTGAGCTCCAGAATTTGCCCTCCTTCCTAAGACACCTAACTCACGGCTTGGAAAGGTCTTCTGCCTCATGGCCTCCAGATTTGGGCCTGACACTGCTTTTTGGAGCGTTGGCAGGGTGGGACCGTGCTGGTATTGATGAGATGTTTTGAACCTCCGGCTTAGGAGCTCTACTGAACTGCGACTTACTAACTCATTCCACCGGATTGCTAAACGGCAGGCTGGAGAACACCCAGCTTCGAGCTGTTGCCGCTCATCAGACTTGCTGTCTGAGCTCATCTGAAAGGCCCCAAGAAAAGGCCATAGAAGTTGGCTAGGGCTCTTTTACAGCCACGCAAAAATCATTTTATGGGACATATTGTTAAATAAGCTAATGGTAGAGGAAGCGAATGAACGTGGCTGCTGCTTTCCCGTGAGGGTTGACTTAATGAGAGAGCAGTAATTGTTGAGCACTTTGCAAATGCTTTGTGAAGCATTGCACAAAGGGTTAATAACGCAGTCGCCGTCACCACCACCATCATCATCTCTAATTCCCAATTAACTTTCCACACACTAAGATGTCCATTTTCACTAGGACTGCCAAAAGGGAAGGCACCAACGGTGTCACCTGGTGAGGGTAATTTAAGAACTGTCTGATGGGCAGAGGCCATGGCAAGCAGGCATTTCATTCCTTTTAAGTGTCTTTCTCAAAAAAAAAAAAAGTTATTTATTTATTTATTTAAAAAGGAGGCCGTACTCGGGGCTCACGCCTGTCATCCCAGCACTGTGGGAGGCAGAGGTTGGAGGACTGCTTGTGCCCCTGAGTTCAAGACCAGTCTGGGCAACATGGTGAAACCTCCTCTCTGCAAAATGTACAAAAATTAGCTGAGTGTGGTAGTGCCCGCCTGTAGTTCCAGCAACTCAGGAGGCTGAGGTGGGAGGCTGAGCCCAGGAAGCAGTGAGCAGAGACTGAGCCACTGCACTCCAGCCTGGGTGACCGAGCCAGAACCTGTCTCAAAAAAAAAAAAAAAAAAAGCATATGTGATATTTAGTAGATATTATAATCTTTTAAAAATGGGTCTACTGTCAGAGCCTTCTTATAAGTCCGGCATATCAGCATATTTTCCAGTTGGAGAGTAACGTGTATCACCTGTCCAAGTGGTGCTTTTAAACCTGCAAACCAGTTCAGGCAGGCGGCTGCATTGCGCAGACACTTGGGCTTTGTAATTGAAATGAATGGGGCTGTTCCAGCAAGATGCAGAAGACAGGTGAGGTGTTGTTACCCCAAGAACTGTGACCCTGGTAGTATCACACATGGAGCTCTTCATTTTTGTCCCCTTTTGGGGGGCCAGTGCAGAAAGAGGAAAATGTAGGGAACTGCCATAGCTCTCCGGTAATGACATGCAAATTCTGAACTTAGAGCCGGATTAGAGGCCGGGCTGCACATTTTCTGCACCATCTGCTGGTTGGCGAGTAAATGCTGAGCAAGGGAAAAAGTGAGCAGGCGGACAGAGCCACTCTGGCCCAGGGGGCCCAAAGTCACAGCGATGTCTTTATATCTCCCAGGTCTGCGGGCACCACAGCAAAGAGCATTTTGCCTGAGGGCACAGGGTAGCTGGCTGGAGAATGTGGCACATCTCCATCTCTTAGTGCTGGCATCTCAGAGCCTGGCAGAACAAAGCCATTTCTGGCTTGCTCACAAAACAGTGATACTTCTGGGGAGTTAGCTCTGCCTCCCATAACCTCCTCACCTGTCACTCCCTCTTTTTCTTACCCAAGCCATTGCAATTACAATTAAAACTTAAAGTGGGGAGAGTGACTGCTCCTTGGGCCCCCATTTCAGACCAAATAAACGTGATTTTAGGAGAAGGGGCTAACAGCTAACGAGAAGTGTGTTTAAGAAAGCACATTTCTGGCCAGGCTGGTCTCAAACTCCCAACCTCAGGTGATCCACCCGCCTCAGCAAACCTAACTGCGAATGGTGGCACATGTTTGTAATACCAGCTACTTGGGAGGCTAAGGCAGGAGAATCGCTTGACTTGGGAGGTGGAGGTTGTGATCGCCGCCACTGTACTCCCCCCTGGGCAACAAGAGCAAAACCCTGTCTAAGGAAAAAAAGCCACATTTCTAAGCAATTGGTCATATTTATTTTTACCAGAACCCACTGAAGAAAGTACTGATATTGTTCCCATTTTCCAGAGGAGGAAACTGAGGCTCAGAGGGGTTATAGGTGACTTGCTCAAGGTCACACTGTCAGTGCTCAGAGAGGTGGAGCAGGGGTTCAGTGCACCTCTGCCATCTGTGAGGCTTGTCTTTTATGTACAGTATGCGGAACCTCTTTTTATTTTTTTTTAGGGTAGAGTCTTGCTTTGCTGTGATCTGGCTCTCTATAACCTCTGCCTCCCAGATTCAAGGGATTCTCCTGCCTCAGCCTCCTGAGTACCTGGGATTACAGGCACCCACCGCCGCACCTGGCTAATTTTTGTATTTTTAATATAGACGGGGTTTTGCCGTGTTGGCCAGGGTGGTCTCAAACTCCTGACCTCAAGTGATCCGCCCGCCTCGGCCTCCCAAAGTACTGTGATTACACGCGTGAGCCACCATGCCCAGCTATGAAACCTCTTAACCATGGGAAAACATACCCTACTCTAAATGTAACCTCGTATTCTCCTGGAGTGCAAAAATGGGGTTGCAGAGTATGAGAGCATTCATAGAGCGCAGTTAAGTCGTGATCTGGGGCCCTCAAGGGAGTGGATATTGAAGCATCAGGAGACTTGAGTGAGACTCGAGTCCTCTGAGAAAAAGCAGGTGTCTTGAGGCTGAAGCTGGGTGGCAAGGAGGAGAGGACGGTGGGAAGGAAGCAGTGGGGCAGTTTGGGAATTGGGCATGAGCTGGAAGGAGAGGTCTGAGATGGGGAGGAAGCTTTTTTTCTGTTGTCAGTCCTTTGTCCTTTTGTGGGGTTCCTGTACTGGGGCTTACTTACTCACCCTCCCTGGTAACCCAGAGGGTATTAATACCCCCCAGCTGAGGCTTGGAAAGGTGAGAACACTTGCCCTCACTGCCACGTCCGAGCCTCCATGCAACTCACACGATGCAGCTCAGTACGCAGCCTCAGCTGCCCTTGGGTACACATCTGAGGGTAATGCGATTGTGAGCAGGCTCAGTTTGATTTACTTCCCCCTAAATCACTGCTTTTAAATTCTGCCAGGTTAAGTCTCTCCACCCCTAATGACCTCTCAGGCGTATCCCATGGCTTTCTAGTCATACTCGGTTGTTGTTATTATATTTATTTTTTGAGACAGAGTCTTGCTCTGTTGCCCAGGCTGGAGTGCAATGGCATCATCTCAGCTCACTGCAACCTCCGCCTCCCGGATTCAAGCAATTCTCCTGCCTCAGCCTCCAGAGTAGCTGGGACTACAAGTGCCCACCGCCACGCCTGGCTAATTTTTGTATTTTTAGTAGACATGGATTTTCACCATGTTGCTCAGGCTGATTTTGAACTCCTGACCTTAGGGGATCCACCTGCCTTGGCCTCCCAAAGTGCTGGGATTACAGGCATGAACCACCATGCCCAGCCCATACTCCTTTATTAAATCTTTACATTTGACTTAAAGCTTTTCCCATCCTGTCCAGGGCTAGCCAGGCTTCAAGCCCCAGGGCTTGGAGCGGAGGGTGTATCCCATGCTCTCAGCCTCCCCCTCCGTCTTCCTGAGCTGCCCAGGGCAGGGGCACACTGTCTCATGGCTGCCAGCCCGCCTCTTGTCTTGCTCTGTTGCTGCCTCTGTGGGCGACTCTGCCACATGGCCATGTTGACATGATGGACTTCAGCTTCTCCCTAGCCCCATCTTTGGTCTCCTTCCAACCCAATTCCTTCTTCAGGGGGCAGCCACATGGCTTTAGGCCCCTTTTCGGAAAGCCCTTTTAGGGCTTTGTCTTAGAAAGCTATGGCACCACTGAGGCCCCTCCACTCCCACTTGGCCACACGGGTGACAGTCTGGGTGCCCGACTAGTGTCTTTAGGGCCCTGCACCTGGCTGCTTTTCACTCCTTGCCTGCCCAGAGGCCCTTCCACCTGCCACAATCCCAGGTGGGAGCAACATCCACCTCCGGTGCCTGCTGCCTCCCCCTCACCAGGGCACAGGTCAGGCTCCGCCGGGACTCCATCTGCGAACAGTCCCCGCTCAGCAAGCGCCTGCCCGGCCCCTTCCTTCCCAGTCACTGTGAGCAGTGCCCATGCGTCTTTCCCTCTCTGACCTGGGGTGAGGTGCCCTGCTGGTGGCAGGCTGGTAACTCTTTTTCTTCATTTCCACTCTCTACCTTCCAGTTCAGCCTGGGAGCATGGGCAGGCGGCTGGCCTGAGAGTGGAGGGCACCGGCGATCTGGCAGCCCAGCCCCTCCTTTGCAGATGAGCCGACCAGAGTCATGGAAATTGTCCCAGGCAGTCCGGCCAGGCATGCAGAGGCAGGACAAGTCCCGTGTTTCAAGTCTGGTTCTGCGAACTCTCTGCAGGCCCTCTGTATGCAGTGTCTGTCTGCCTGGCGCCGAATGTTTGGAACGTGGAGTGCTGAGTACCTGTGGTTTCCAGCTGTGGCTCCTTGTGCCAGCTTTGGGGAACAGCTGAGCTCCCGTTCCTGGCTGCATGAGGAAGTGGTAGGACCAAGGCTTTGCACCAAAGCCTTTGACTCAGAGCCTGTTCTCAACGCTGTGTCAAATTGCCTTTTTGATGGGGGCAGGACTGTGAAACCTAAGGCAGGCAGGGGCCTCCGTGCATGCTCCTGGGCAGACAGGTGTGTGCCCTGCAGGGGCAGAGGTTGGTGTGGCGGTGGGCTCGGTGACACCTCAGCAGCCATGTATCTCAGCCCTTCTTCCTGGGAATTCCCAGCCTGGAACTTAGACTCACCAGGTTCCCGAGTTTGGCAGAGTGGAACAGGCTACTTCAGCTTTGTCTTGGGCCCTGTGACAAACTCCTACCATTGCCGTCACATGGTTTGTGGAAGGAAATGGAGAAGTGAGTTCTCTCCGTGGGGAGAGGTGCTGTGACAAATGGACACTGATGTGGGAACAGAGCCCTGAGACCTCACCACACCTCGGAGGGCAGATGGGAAGCTGACATTTACCAGGGTCCGGTCTGTTCTGTTCTGAAACTCTGCTAGGGACTTCCACGCCCTCCACTCAGCCGCAGCAGGGATGGTTTGAAGTCATGTGCTGCTGTGGGATGGTGCCAGGCCTTCATGGCAAGGGCCTGCGGCTCATGGTAGGACTCATGGTCGGTGTTGGGAGCTCACCATGGGCACTAGGCCAGTAAGCCGTGTGACTCAGGAGGCAGCCCTGGGAGTGAAGGAGCTGGGTCCCTGGGTGCAGATCCGGGCCCCAGTCTGGGCTGTGCCTCCAGTTTGGGTCCCATGGCTGGTTACCACCTCTTCGAGGCTGCTGTTTGACCAGGGAGGCGGAAACCTTCATACTCATCCCACAGGTTGGTGTGGGTTAAAGGAGATGCCGTGTGTCCTGAATTCCTTTGCTCCTCTCCTCCTCTGGCTGAGATTCTCACTGTGTGTTGCCTACAGCTCTGAACCCAGGCTCTTGCTGAGACACCCAACCACTGTCCTGAAGGTCAGGTCCCTGAACTGACCCTGCCCGTTTCCAGCCCACTGTGCCATCAAAATTACTTTGCCACCAAACAGCAACTTTTCTGCTTGTAAAACGGTGGTGACTCTTCGCACACCCATAGGGAGCATGTGGCAAGCCAGCAGTGCCCCATCGCAGAGCCTGGCATGAGAGCAGAAGGCACCGGGGGTCCAGCAGCCCAGCCCCTCCTTTGCAGATGAGCCAGCCAAAGTCGAGGAAATTGTCCCAGGTAGCCCAGCCAGGCGTGCAGAGGCAGGGCAAGTCCCGTGGTTCAGGCTGACCAATCCTGTGCTTGCTACGCACGCCACACTCTGACTTGAAATGGGTCATAGTCCTCATTCTTGCTGGTAGGGAACTAAGAGGCCCCTGAAACTAATCCAGGAAACAGTCCTCCACGCTCACCAGGAAAAGGGACGTGGGTGATTGTAGGAGTCAGGGGCTCTGGCAGTCAGTTTAGTCAAGACGTGTTTATCAAATACCTGTGGTGTGCCAGGCCCTGATCTAGGAGTTGTGAAGAGGGAAGCTGCTAGGCCTGTTGGTGATTGTGAAGAAGAGGCTTAGGAAACACAGGGCCAGCCAAGGGCAAGGACTGTGCTTAGCCTGGCTTCTGGGCCCCATGCGTGGCCTCAGTTCCTGGCACTGGCTCCCTGTGGAGACAGTTCAGTGGGCTGGTGGCCAGTCAGAGCTGTGTGTGCACCTGGGTGTGGCCCTGGGTGTGCTCCTGTGTGTGTGCCTGTATGTGCATGTGTGTATACTGGTGCATCTATGTGTGTGGAGGTCTGTGTATGGGTGCCTGTGTGTGCGTCTGTATGTATGTGCCTCGGTGTGTCTGTGTGAGTCTGTGTGTGTCTGTGCAAATGTGTGCCCATGTGTGTTTGTGTTTCTGTGTATGTGCCTGTGTCTGTCTGTGCAGGCACAGGCCTATGTGTGTCTGTGCCCTTGTGTGTGCCTGTGTGTGTGGACAGGTTTCCTTATTCACCTTTGGTCTGACGTCCACACCCAGTACCTCCCCAGAGGCGACTTTCTTTCTTTCGTTTTTTTTTTTTTTTTTTTTTTTGAGACGGAATTTTGCTCTTGTTTCCCAGGCTGGTGTGTAATGGCATGATCCTGGCTCACTGCAACCTCTGCCTCCTGGGTTCAAGCGATTCTCCTGTCTCAGCCTCCTGAGTAGCTGGCATTGCAGGGGCCCACCACTATGCCCAGCTAATTTTTGTATTTTTAATAGAGACAGAGTTTCCCCACATCGCCCAGGTGAAACTCCTGACCTCAGGTGATCTGCCCGCCTCAGCCTCCCGAAGTGCTGGGATTCCAGGTGTAAGCCACCAGTTGGAGCCACCAGAGGCCACTTTCTAAACGTACGGCCCAGTTTCCAACCCGAGCCCTCCTCGAGCCTTGACACGCTCTTCTCTCTGCAGCTGAGGCTGTGGCCACATCAGTGCCTCGGGGATGCCCTGTCAACCGAGGGGGAACCAAATCCTGTTAATGCCCTCAGCACTCGGGGAACTCTTAGGCCCCTCACGGCACATGCAGCATCCAACCCCAGTGACCACGCAGGAAGCCTGGATTTCCCCACAGCAGAGGCAGGGCGGAGGCTGCCGCCGCGGTCACCAGGTCACCATCAGGAGAGCCCTACTGTCAGCTCTGAACACTGTGGCACTTGCAGGCTTTGCTACAGCTTCTTGCTCACCTGCCTTTCCATTGTCAGACAGGCAGGAACTGGTAGCGGCCAGCAGGGACACAGGGCCAGAGCGCTGTCTTGAGGCTGGTGCAGTTTTCCAGGTGGGTTCCCGGGCCCCTCTGTGGCTGTCCCACTGCAGCTGTCTCGCACCCAAGGGCTGCTGCTGTGCCCACCCTCTGAGCCCTAGGCTAGCTGCTCAGCACTGAGTGACGGGGAGTGGAGGTCGGGTTCATGACCGTGAGGAAAGGGCTGCCAAGAGAGGAACGTTTGCAAGATCCAAGGCCCCTCAGCAAAATCTCACTGCAAGCATCTTAGGGTTTTGCAAACAACAAAGTCATGTGATCTGAAGAGCCGCTTAGGTCAGGCTGTTCCTGTTGGTCTTGTGCTTCCAGCGAGAGGAGGAAAGCCACTTCCTGGTTGGAGGTTCTGTCTGGGCCCTGGCATTTTGGCCAGCCAGTTCTCTTGGTACAGAAATAGCCTCAGCAGGCGGTTTAGGCAGTACCTGGGACCACAGGCATTCCCCAAGGGCTGCAGAGACTCTTGAAGATTTCACTTTTATATTTCCTGTGGCTGAAGTTTAGAGTCCATTAACCTATGAGGACAGATGAAGTCCAGGTGCTTCTACTCTGCAAGTGGGTTGATTACCCCAAGCTTATGCAGGTCGGGATTTTAGGCTGGTGAGCCACAGAGTGTTGCATATTCCTTTTTTTAAAGCACTAACGACAGCAAATGCAATGTGTTAAAATGGTAAAAACCAGTCTTAGCTCGCAGGGCTTTACTGAAACAGCCTGTGGAATGGACTTGGCTCGCAGGCTGTAGTTTGCTGACCCCTGGGTTAGGACAGACTCATTATTTGTCACCAAGATCCCCCTCCACCACCACCCTTTTTTAAATTATTTTTTGAGACGGAGTCTCACTCTGTCACCCAGGCTGACGTGCAATGGTACGAGCTCAGCTCACTACAACCTCTGCCTCCCAGGTTCAAGTGATTCTCCTGCCTCAGCCTTCCAAGTAGCCGGGATTACAGGCACCTGCCACTATGCCTAGCTAATTTTTGTATTTTTGGTAGAGACAGGGTTTCACCATATTGACCAGGCTGGTCTCGAACTCCTGACCTCAGGTGATCCACTCGCCTCAGCCTCCCAAAGTGCTGGGATTACAGGCGTGAGTGGGCCACCGCACCCAGCCCCCACCACCTTTGTTCCATTATTTTTGCTAAGGCAAGTCAGAAACAGGCTTTGGCTTCTTTCATGGTTTAGGGAGTTTCATGCATTCAGTGAACAATTGGTAGTGATCCCCTACACACAGGTGTCTGGGATTAGAGATAGTAGGTTGAGATTTCTTCCCTGAAGGGTCCCAGTCTATTGGGAAGGATGATGTAAATAGAAAGCAGAGGGCTGGGAGCCATCTGCACCTGTGGCACACAGGAGGGACCCTCACCCTGGCCGTCTGGGCTGGGGACGAAGTCTTGACATCATGAGATACCAGCTGACTCTCTCCCTCCTCAATTTTTAAATGGCACATGTACTTGCAAGGCTGGGCTACACAGTCTACAAAACATAGGGTGAAAAACCCCCACACACAGTGGAGTCGGCTCCGTGGGCTGCTCCCACCTCACAGGCTGCTCTCCCTGGCACCTTGGACTCTGCTGCCACAGTTCCTCATAGCTGTCAGAGGTCACATTGTCCCATCAGGCCATGCGACAGTCCGTTTGTAGTGCATGACTGGTGGCAGAGAAGGAGGGAAGTGGGCAGGGTGTGAGCCATGCCCATCAAGACCACACTCATTTTCTGGGAAGACAGCACACATCTGTCCATGTGTGGCCTTGTCCTCCCAGCTTTCACAAAGCACATACAGTTCAACTGGAACATGTAGACTTATTTCATTTATTCAACAGGTGTTTTTTTTTTTTTTTTTTTTTAAATTAAAAAAGTTGTATTGGCTGGGTGTGGTGACTCACACCTGTAATCCCAGCACTTTGGGAGGCTGAGGCAGGTGGATTGCTTGAGCCCAGGAGTTCCAGACTGTCCTGAACAATATAATGAGATCTTGTCTCTACAGAAAATTAAAAAAATTAGCCAAGCACAGTGTCATGCACCTGTAATCCCAGCTACTCAAGAGGGTGAGGTGGGAGGATTGCTGGGACTTGGGAAGGTCGAGGCTGCAGTGAGCAGAGATTATACCACTGCGTTCCAGCCTGGGCGATAGAGCAAGAGCTGTCTCAAAAAAGTATGTTGGGGCCGAGCATGGCGGCTCACGCCTGTAATCCCAGCACTTTGGGAGGCTGAGGCGAGTGGATCACCTGAGGTCAGGAGTTCCAGACCACCCTGGCCAACATGGTAAAACCCTATCTCTACTATAAATACAAAAATTAGCCGGGTGTGGTGGGCACTTGTAATCCCAGCTATTCAAGAGGCTGAGATAGGAGAATTGCTTGAACCCGGGAGACCGAGGTTGCAGTGAGCCAAGATCGCTCCATTGTACTTTATTCTGGGTGATAAGAGTGAAACTCCACCTCAGGAAAAAAAAAAAAAAAGTATTGGGCTGGGTGCGGTGGCTCACGTCTATAATCCTGGCACTTTGGGAGGCTGAGACAGGTGGATCATGAGGTCAGGAGTTCGACACCAGCCTGGCCAACATGGGGAAACCCCACCTCTACTAAAAATACAAAAATTAGCCAAGCCTTGTGGCAGGCACCTGTAATCCCAGCTGCTCAGGACACAGACAGGAGAATCATTTGAACCTGGGAGGCAAAGGATGCAGTGAGCCGAGATCTTACTACTGCACTCCAGCCTGGGTGACAGAGCAAGATTCCGTCTCAAAAACAAAAGAGAAGCAAAATTTATGCAATATGAAATTAACCATTGGATGCATGAGGCTGAGCGATATTCAGTTCATACCCAGTGTTGTGCAGCTGTCACCTCTATCTAGTTCCAGAACATTTTTATCACCCCTAAAGGAAACTTTATGCCCATTAAGCGGTCACACTCCATTCCCTGTTGCCTCAGCCCCTGGCAGCCACTCATCTGCTTTCTATCTCTGTGGATTTACTTATCCTGAATATTTCATATCACAGGAATCATACAATGTGTATCTTCGTATGTCTGCTCCCTTCACCTAGCATAGTGTTTTGAGGTTCGTCACCTTGTAACACAGAACTTCATTCCTTTATAAGGTTAAATAACGTTGCGCTGCATGGATAGAGACCACATTTTATTTATCCATTCATCCGTTGGATGTTTAGGTCATTTCATCATGCGTTTTTGAGTGCCTGTTGTGTGCCAGACACTGTGCACTGTTTAAGGTCAAACTTAGATTCTCCCTGCGTGGAACTTAGCTTTGAGCAGGGAAAACAGACTTTGTGTCAACGATTCCTCCGTTGTGTGATTGTCTGGCTGATAGGACTTAGTGGCCATCCTTACAGTGGAGATGTGACGTGTGAGATGTCTTCAATGGAAAGCTGAAGACTTAATTTATTCTCTCATCTCTGAGTGTCCCTCTAGGAGACATTTTTGTTTGTTTGTTTTGTTTTGTGTCTTGAGACAGAGTCTCACTCTGTTGCCAGGCTGGAGGGCAGTGATGTGATCTCAGCTCACTGCAACCTCCGCCTCCCTGGTTCAAGCGATTCTCCTGCCTCAGCCTCCTGAGTAGCTGGGACTATGGGCGCGTGCCACCATGCCCAGCTAATTTTTGTATTTTTAGTAGAGACGGGGTTTCACCATTTTGTCCAGGATGGTCTCGACCTTCTGACCTCGTGATCCGCCTGCCTCAGCCTCCCAAAGTGCTGGGATTATAGGCGTGAGCCACTGTGCCTGGCCTAGGTTACATGTTTTAAAAAGAACCAGTGGTTTTTGCTGCTATTTAAATGAAAGTTGAATCTAATTTTAAAAATCTCACTGTAATGAAATCAAAATGTTTCCGAAACACAGATATTCAGAATG